GACTGTGTCAAGCAGCAAGGATGGACCGGCTTCCGGCAAATTCCCCCTTTTTTATTTTTTAAATGATAGTGCATATAAATCTGCGGCCACCTCTCGGATTGTGTTGTTTAAGACTGGGAAGAAGGCTGACAAGCAATGATAGCGAGCATAGCTATAAACATAGTGGATGGAGTGCACAAGGAGCCTTGTTCCTGTAGAAAGTTGCTGGCCTCTTCAGTCAAGGGATTTTAGCTGTCCTCAAGTCGGGGGTTTGTGTCCTTGTTCCGGCTTCTGGCAAATTCCCCCTTTTTTATTTTTTAAATGATAGTGCATATAAATCTGCGGCCACCTCTCGGATTGTGTTGTTTAAGACTGGGAAGAAGGCTGACAAGCAATGATAGCGAGCATAGCTATAAACATAGTGGATGGAGTGCACAAGGAGCCTTGTTCCTGTAGAAAGTTGCTGGCCTCTTCAGTCAAGGGATTTTAGCTGTCCTCAAGTCGGGGGTTTGGTTGTCCTTGTTGATCTGGCTAGCGGGCGGCGTCATTGGCGATGGGACATATGGACAGACAAAAAGGAGGCACATGTGATCCTCCCAATGGACAGGTGGTTCCAGCTCAGGGTTGCACATCTGCTGCAGGTGTGCTAACTCGGCCTCCCAGGGGTGACGGTCCCCAGGAAGGAGGCAAAGGCTGCTCCTTCTGGAAAGATACAAAACACAACCTCTTCCCCACATCATCACAAGATCTGGTAAAACTCCTGTCTGGTTTGTGCAGAAAAGGGAGCACAATAGAAAACATATTCATATTGAAAAGGTTTTAAAGGAATTACTTGCTCCCATAGTTAGTGTTTTTACTAAATGCAGAGTATCACATTCATACATACCCTGTTCCTTGGTACCACTGCTAACGAAAGAGCAATCTTTACAGTCATTATCATAGGAAGCAGGGAGGTAGAGACAACTGTCAACCAAACCCCTCACAGCTCAGGCAGATTCTTTCTCTACTGGCCATTACTACTCAGTGTGTGTTCCTACAAGAGACCCACTGTAGCCCTTCTAGATTTTCCCGTCAAAAAGAATCAGGCTTTTACTGGGGGCGGGTGCCTGGTGGCATGGGAAAGTTGAACCTAAGTTCTCATGAAACAGCCTCTCTTCCACTTACTGGCTTTAGCGTAGAAGAAGAGCAGGAAAATGCCTAGGCCAGGAAGCTTCATTGTATTTTTTGTTTGTTTTTTGACCCTAGATTGTAGGGTCACTTGAATGAGGCAAAGCATCCTACTATTAATGGAAAAGAGATACTCCTTCAGCACACTTTTTCACTGCTATGATGGTACTGTTGGACATGCTTCCTCCTTCTGTGTGTTATGCCAGGAAACCCACTACCAGGGTGACTGATATGGCAGTCAAAGCTCTCAAGGGCCTGTGATAGAACCTTATGGTTGTCACAGGATCCTCAGTCCCAGTCCAGGTCATAAGTGCTGTCATAGCCAAACTCCTTCTGCACATCCACAGGGTATTTGCCCCACATCCGTGGTCTGCGCCCCCTTTACAGCCCATATCACTATCTGACAGTGAATTTACTTGTTTTTCTCTATCTGAATGTTAGGTTCACTGCTCTACCCACAGAACCTAAGAACAATGCTTGTCACATAGTGGGCGCTCAGTAAATACTTGTTGAAGAGAGAACCTAATCTGTAAAATCGAGGCTAGCAAGCCGGAGGGATCATCCGTTAATAAAAGGTGAAGCCATGTGCATCTCAACTGTGTGCCGTCTGTGCATCTCAACTGCGTGCCGTCTGAGCGCCCAGATTCCTGGCACTACTTGTCGGGAGAAGCCCAGCTCTCCTCCGCGGGGCGTGCACTCACTTTGCAGGAGGCGACGGCGGCGGCGGCGGTGGCGGTGGCGGTGGCGGCGGCAGTGGCAGTAGCAGCGGCCTCAGGGTCTCCTTCTTCGTGGACCAGATCCAACAGCTGGAAGCCTGCGTCACTGTCGGCTTCTGGGTTTTCCCGCGCGTCCTCGGACTCCAGGTCATCCGAGAGAAGGCCCGAGGGTCGGCGGCTAGAGACTACCCTGTAGCGACCCTCCTGCTGGATCTTCCGAGTGGAAGCGCGGAGCTTGTGGCGGATACGCTGAGGGGTGGCCCGGGGTCGGGGCAGAGCGCGCAGGAGCGGCTGGACCAGATCCTCCTGGGAGCACACGGTAGCCACCAACTGGAAGACATTTTTCTCTGCTGCTTTCTCCAGACCCTCCGGGGACGTCTTTTGGACCGCCGACTCTACCGCATCTCTCCGGAGGCGTTTACAGGCGAGGACCAGGGCCTCGGCAGGCTCCTCGCTGTGCTTCCGCTTCACGCGGAGTATAGCCGGGCGACCAGCCTCCATAGCGGCAGTCGTAAAGCAGGTCCAGGGGTTCCCAAAGGTGTGGACGGAGTCAGCGAAGAAGAAATGACACGGAGACAGCGTTCAGTTGATCAGCAGCCTAGCCAGGATCTCTAGCCAGGATCTCCAGTCAGGTTCTGTGTTTATTTCTCCTGCTACATCTGTATTTATACCAGTTGATTTTAATCCTGTCAA